CACTTTCTAAGATCTACTTTCTCTGGAGCTCTGGGGAAAGAAAAGGCAAGAAACAGGTAGTGATTTCTTTCCCACTTTCTCCCCAAGAATATTCAGGAGGTCTCTGTCACCACCAATGGTAGAAAACAAGCTATGAATCTTTACCCCCATTCTTGGAGAAAACACTCTTCCTGGAGGAAGAGAACAGAAGAGCCAAACACCCAGGCAGCTGACCACAGAGACTAGTGGTCTAGTCCAACCCCAGCCTTTTTCAGAAATCCTTTCCTCCTTTTCTTTCCTGTCTGCTCTGCCAGGGCTAACTGGGAAGCCCCCGGGGCAGGTCCCACTATATGTCTTACAATGTTCAGGCTCCCTCCCCAGTAATCATTTATTAGAAAAGGTTTTTATGATACAAATTTGATAATCTCCCATGCACACTGGCACTGTTCTAATTGAAGTTGTAAGCCCATAAAATTCAAGCCCTTTGTCTTCCTGAAGGCCACAAGGTTTAAAAAGATACTATTGTCCTCCCTAACACCCACTACATTGTCAGCAGGGACTGATTAAACAGAGTCCTGAATCAAAACAGTGCGGATTTTGTCTAGGTCCTTTTCAGTCCTGACAATGCCCTTTTCAGTTCCCAAGACAAAAGAAGGTTTAAGGATCGAGATTCCCCTAAGATAACCGCATCCATATGGAAGGCAAGGCGGCCGGCAGCTGAGACCCAAACACCCTGCTCCCTTCCCCCTCTGCTTCCCTTCCCACTCTGCTACCCACCCTCTTCCTCCCGCCCTTCCCCAGCCCCACCCCACCCCAGGTGATAACAGTGCCTCAGCCACCTTTCATCCTCCCCTTCCTCCTCCTTGGACAAGAAAGCTAGAGCCCGTGGCAGGCCCAGAGCCCGCTCCTCACAGACCGCATCGGGTCCCCTTGCTCCCCTCCCTGGACCTGATGCCCGAAATCGCTCTCGTCAGGCGCATCTTCTCTCACTGGGCACCTGGAAGCAAGGTCGTCACTTCTCCCAGAGAGTGACCGCCTGCATAGGAGGCCCTGCGGCACCGGATACCCGGGCGAAAAGCAGTTACAAACCCAAGAGTGAAACACTAGATCCCCAAGCCTACTGCGCACTGGGGGAGCGAGTGGAATAAGGCCGACCAGCGGATCCTGCCCCAACGTCGGGCCACCAAGGCTCCCCCAGGCCGTCCTCCCTCAGCTGACAGCTAAGTCTCCCCGGCGCCACCCTTTGATGTCTTCGCCACGCCGGGCAGGTGCGGCGCCGGGAGCAGGCAGGAAGTCACAGCTACGTGAGGCATTCGCGGGCTCAACTGGACGTTACAGGTTCCCCGGTGCTCTCCGGTCCCCGAGCACTCGGCTCCGCACTCTGGAAAAGGCCGGCTTGTGGCCAGGCCTGTGCTGCTCCAGGCCAGTGCGCTCCGCACCCGGCCTCGTCGGCATGTCTCCGGACAAGCTCGTGGCCCCCTGGGTCGCCTTTTGCTGCTTGAAAGGCCAGCAGCTCTGGGAGCACAGCGGAGCCTCCGCGTCACTCCGGGCCCAGAGCCTCCTCCTTGCCTCAGCCCCCCGCCCTTCTTTCCTTCCCGTCCCCCAACCCGCATCTTCCTAAGGACGTGTCGGGACCGCGATCTGCCCTTCGACCCAGCCGGGGGTGGGCCCTAACTCAGCGGGTCAAGGAGCTGGCGGGCGCTCATCTACGTTCCCGGCAGGCCCGCGGGGAACCCAACCCTATACGTTTTACTCTCGCACCAGAAAAAGGAAAAATACTCTTAATTCTTGTAAAATGCGTTGCTTCCATACAAATCACTTAAAAAATATACAAATAAGGCTCAAGAAAAAATCTAGCTCTGGGGTTGGCGGTCGAGGAAAGATGGGGGCGCGGATCTTGAAGAAAGTTCCCCGTTTGTGCTTCCACGACGGCTGGTGAGAGAGGGTCAGGGGGCGTCAGCGCCGAAGGAGGTGGGGCCCGCAGGGAGGTGGCCCGGAGCGCTCCAGGTCTTCGGCTCCAGCCCTGCTCCGGCCGCAGAGTGCGCGCCAAAGTCCAGACTGGCCCCAGTGCCCCTCGGCGGCCTCACCAGTTCCAGGAGACCAAGGCCGGGGGCGCTAAGTGCTGGTAGGCGGGGAAGAGGCCGAGCGCCGAGCCGGGCCCGAAGGCGGTGTAGCCCGGCAGAGGGCAGGCGGCGGCCGCGGGACC